ATAATAACCACAAATAATATATTAACTAGATTTAAAAAAGGACTCTAATCTGGGTCTGCCTAGTTTTCCTAGTTTGAAGAAATATAAATTAAAAATGGTTTGAAACATTATAACAGCCTTGTTGGACGCCAGTCAGTTTCTCTCACGAGAACTACACTAAAAATAGGGAAAACTGGGCGGTGCCCTATCAAGCCTCTCATTTTAATTTCTGTCTGTAATTTAGGTGTTTAAACAGAATTCCCGACCAAAACCCCAAAAATGGTAGTCACTAGGTTTAAAATAAGGCGCTGATTAGGACCTTCCTAGTTTTCCTAATTTGAAAACATGTAAATAAATTAAATTTATAAAATTACCTTTTGTAATAAAGTTATTTACAATTAAATCCAATCACGGGGTAAATATAGAAATACTTGAAGGGGCCCTGATTAGTTTTCTCCTAGTAGGGAATTAATTCGAAACAGCGTTACAACCTCGTCGGGCGCTAGTTACTTTTTCTGCAGAGGACCACACAAGCGATAAGTAAAACTAGCCAGTACCTCATCAAGCCCACAAAAAGGTAGTACCTAGTTTTAAAAATAGGCTCTGGTTAGGGCCTCGATAGATTTCTTAGTTTTGAATAATTTCAAATATATTATAATTATTACTTTTCTTATTTTAGAAAATTGATTCGTAACAACGTTAAAGCCTTGTCGGGCGCTAGTCAGTTTCGCTTACAAAAGCCTCAGTAGAAATGGGAAAAACTGGTGAGTACCTCATTAAGTCCATATTTCAATTTCTGCTCGATTATTATTTTTTAATTTTAGTTGTTTAAATAGAATTCTTGACCAAAAACCAAAAAATGATAGTCACTAGTTTTAAAATAAGGCCCTGGTTAGGGCCCTCCTAGTTTTCCTAATTTGAAAAAATGTATTATAAAATTTGAAATATAATCTTTTATAAGGCAGTTATTTACAATAAAAGTAAATTACTATTGGTATATTCTAGTACATTTGAATTATTTTTCATTATGGAATAATTTATAATATTTTTTTGTTTTGCAACAAACAGAATTGTCAATTAAATATAATTTTATAAAATTAATAATAATCGATCGAAATAATGTTTTCACACGAAAACAATATAATGTTATTAAATTAATTATGTTCAGTACTGATATTTTCAACGCGCGTGAATTAACAATCTAAATGTCAGACGTGTGTAATTAATTATAATCAAAGATTTATTATTTTGCAAGAGTATATAAGATAAATTTTTTCCCATTTATAATCATTATATTAGTTTCATTATACGAAGAATTTTCATTTAATTAAAATATGACATAATCTCTGATATATTGACAATTTTGGACAAATGAAAATTAGGCGTCTTAAAAATTCTATCAATATTAAAAATTCGTGCAAATAAAAATTTAGACAAAATTAAAATTCATCGAATTAGAATTTGTGTAAAATTTCGAATTTTTAAATAACAGAAATTCTAATTCACCGAATTTTAGTTTGTCCGAATTTTTAATTGATGTAATTTTTAAGACGCCAAATTTTCATTTGTCCAAAATTACAAATGTCCGAACAAACAATCGACAAAAAGATTATGGGGCAATTTTTGAAAATTATCAAGAAAATCGTAATTGGACAATTTTTAAAAATTGTGCCGAAATCTTTTTCTCGATCGTTTTGTTCGGACATTTTTAATTTCGGACAAATGAAAATTCGGCGTCTTGAAAATTCCATCAATTAAAAAATCGGAAAAATTAAAATTCGGTGAATTAGAATTTCTGTTATTTAAAAATTTCCATTTGTACCGAAATTCTATATAATTCACTGTATACTTTAATTTGTTCAAATTTTTATTTGTATGAATTTTTAATTGATAGAATTTTTAAAACGCCAAATTTTCATTTATTCGAAATTATAAATGTCCGAATAAACAATCGACAGAAAGATTTCGTCGCAATTTTTGAATATTGATCGCAATCGCACGATTTTCTTGATAATTTTTAATTGGTCAATATTCAAAAATTGCGCCGAAATCTTTCCCTCCATTGTTTGTTCGGACATTTATAATTTTGGACAAATGAAAATTCGTCGTCTTAAAAATTCTATCAATTAAAAATTCGGACAAATTAAAATTCGGTGATATTGAATTTCTATCATTTAAAAATTAAAATTATTCATATTTTTGCTATTGGATCAATTGAGAAATTTTGCCGCGTATTTATAATTTTTGTTGCAAAGTTTATTTTTGATATTTTTTTCCTCATTAAAATGACATCAACTTTGTAAAATCGAAGCTTATACCCCACTTGGAAAGATTCCCCGGAAAGTGCCCCTTGGAGGTTGTATCAGAATTCCGTCGGAACTTTCAACGTAATTCCGTCGGAATTCCATCGGAGTTTCAAAGAATTTCCGTTGGGATTCCGACGGAGTTCCAACGGAATTCCGATTATTTTTTTTTCAAAATTTTTAGAGCCCTAATTTCGTTGGAATTCCGTCGGAATCCCATCGGAAATTCTTTGGAACTCCGATGAAATTCCAATTAATTATTTTCAAAAATTTTAGAGCCCTAATTTCCTTGGAATTCCGTCGGAAACCCATCGGAACTCCGTCGGAATCCCATCGGAAATTCTTTGGAACTGCGATGGAATTCCAATTAATTATTTTCAAAATTTTTAGAGCCCTAATTTCGTTGGAATTCCGTCGGAATCCCATCGGAAATTCTTTGGAACTCCGATGAAATTCCAATTAATTATTTTCAAAATGTTTGGAGCCCTAATTTCATTGGAATTCCGTCGGAAACCCATCGGAACTGCGTCGGAATCCCATCGGAAATTCTTTGGAACTCCGATGGAATTCCGACTGAATTACGTTGGAAGTTCGCAGCGGAATTCTGATAGAACCTCCAGGGGGCACTTTCCGGGGAATCTTGCCAACTGGGACATTAAAATCATTTAGAAATTATTATTATATATATGTATATGACATTCTCTTTTTGAAAACATGCTACCGAATCAATAAACAACAACTCTCAGAGGGAGTGAGAAGAAAAAAAAAATTCTCGTCTCGCAGCAGGAATCAGGTCGGCGATCGTATAATTCTGTCAGCCATTAATAATAACTAGCATTAATGAAACGAATTGCATATATATATATATATATATATATATATATATATATATATATATATATATATATATATTCTTTAGAGGCATCGAGCGTTAATTATATATGCAGGGATAAAATAACGCCAATCGCGTCATAAAACCGAGTGTATATATATATATACGTATATAAAAGAAGAGGTGAAAAAGATCTCTTAGAAGAGTTCTGTGTGTATGCGTATCACTATACCAGTGTATATAAAATACGGCAAGTATTAAAACTCTACTTACCTGGACATTAAGGTTCCTTTCAGCACATCGTCAAAAACTATATACACGAGATCTCAGAGAGTTTATGTTCCAGAAATAACTGTCATTTGCCAGAATTAAGATGAAAAGAAAAAAAGAAAAAAATTTTTTTTTTCTGCCAAATTACTATCCGTCTCGGTAAAGAAACAAAATTACTGACTCGAGACTATTTATATTTTTCGTGATAAGAATAATATATTTTTCTCTATAATTTTTTATTATATTTATTCTTTTTTTTGCGTAATATTTATTACTATTTATTTTATATTAAAAAAAGTAAACGTAATTTAACATTTCCGTTTACAAAATTGGTACAATTTTTTCTATTTAAAATTGGGCCTTGACTAGTGTGTCGCTAGGTTTCCTAGTTTGGAAAAAAACGTAAAAATGAAGTTATTTAAATTAGATATAAAGGTTATTTGTAAAAATGTTAGTTACTAAAAGAAATCTTTGTAAAGGAGTTTTAATATTTTGGAAAAATTGAAATGTGGATCTGATGAGGCACTTTCTAGTTTTCCCTATATCTCTGGTGTAGCCCTTGTCAAAGGTACTCATTAGCGCCCAACAGGTCTGTTACACTGTTTTGAACCTATTTCATAATGAAAAAACTAGTCAGGGCGTTGTCAGGTTTTCCTATTACTATTCAGGGCAAGCACCCCCGGAATAAGAAAATGATTAAAATATTTGTATACAATGATTTAATTTTTTAGTATCTTTTTCAAGAAGTGTTAATTTTGATAACTTAATTTATTTACACATTTTTTAAATTAGGAAAACTGGTGAGTTCCTAACTAGAGCCTTATTTTAAAATTTAATAACGTATTTTGAGTTTTGGTTGGAATTTATTATTAAATTCTCAGAATAAAAATTTTTTTATTGAAATAGAAGTATAAAGAATTTTTTTAGTTGTAAACAGCATTTTATTAATTTAGGAAAGCTGGCGAGGACTTGGTCGTAGCCCTATTTTGAATACTGCAAGTTTTGGGATAATTTCTGCAAAAGAAATTATTTTTATTTTAGGGAGTTAATCAGAAATTTCGGGCTAAAATCCTAGTAGCCTTGACGGGGGCTAATTAGATTCCCTGGACACTAGAGATAGGGAAAACTGGACAGTACCTCATCAAGCACATTTTTTTAATTTTGCGAGAGTAATTTTTTTTATTTTTGGTGTTTAACTAGAAATTCCGATTGAAAAATCCAAAAAGGGTAGTCACTAGTTTCAAAATAGGGCTCTGATAAGGACCCAACTAGTTTTCCTAGTTAGGCAAAATTAAAATAAATTAAGTTTTTAAAATTATTTTTTGTAATAAAGTTTCTAAAACTTAAAGCTAATAATGGAGTGATTATAGGAAAACTGAAAGGGCATTGACTAGTTTCTTCCTAGTGAGAAATTGATGCAAAACAGCGTTACTTCCATGTCGGGCACTAGATAGTTTTCCTTAAGACAACATTAAAAATAGGGAAAACTAGACAGTACCCCATAAATTCCACAAAAGTAAATCACTAGTTTTAAAAATAGAGCTCTACTTAGGGCGTGGATAGTTTTCTTAGTTTGAAAAAATTGTAAATAAATAATTATGATTACTTTTTTTTAGAAAATTGACTCGGAAAAGCGTTACAGCCTTGTCGGGCGCTATGCAGTTTCTCCTACGAAGGCCTCATTAGAAATCGGGAAAACTGGTGAGTACCCCATCAAGTTTACATTACATTTTCTAAACGAAAATAATAATTAAATAATTTATATAAATTTTACACTTAAATTTTCATTTCACTATAAAAAATCAAACTGGGAATGATTGACTATATAGACAAACGTTTGCACTCAAGATGAACTATATTATATTGTCTATATTTTGAAAAGAAAATTTAGTGATAAAAGTAAAAAGACCGTGTGCGGTGGACCGCGATTCTGGCATTGCATATATGCAAAACCAGTTGAACAGCACGAAAAACTTTATTTTATTTATTTTATTTATTTATTTTTTTTTTTTTTTGTCGACAGACATAAAGCATCGCATTTCGTGCCGAGCATAAAATATCTTTATTATACAAAATACATGCAAATTACCTTATTTACGATTATGGTCGCTAATTATATTGCGTGCTTATACAAAATGTCAACGTGGCCGAAGCACCAATGTGAAATACGTTTTCCTCTTTATGAGGCAGACTCAATGCCTCGAAGGCAAAATGCGCGGGCATAAAATATATATTACTTGACTTAACGATCGCAAAATGCCGATAGTTACCTTTAACTTTGTTGCCTGTCGAGGTGCAATCAACGTGCCATTAGAAAAAAATTGAAAATTCCTGATACGCTCTATACCATCAAAGCAATATATATATATATATATATATATATATATATATATATATACACGCAAAACGTTTGAAAATGAAGACAAGAGTTTATTTGGAAATAATTTATTTTTTTAATATATAATATACATTTAAAAGATGTAATTAGATTTAAAAAAAAACAGCAATTCGAATCGACCAATTCAATTAAGGGTTGCATTTATGCTTTAAATTTTCACAAAAATCATGTCTTTAGTTGTAATTTGTAATCGAAACTAATTACCTTGGGTAAAAATTATCGTTCACTTAACTATAGATGAAACACGATACTCATATATATATATATATATATACATATATAGGCAATCTTATAATATGCTTTCAACAACAATGAATATTCATTTCGATTTTGTAACAATATTTCCATCTTTAATGGAAACACTGCACATTTGTAAATATATATGAATATTTATTTTAAATACACGATCAGATATATATTTTCTCGCAGTAGTGCGTAATATACATATTATATAGAAATTTCTCACAAACAAATAAAAACTGCGAATTAACATTGAAAAACAAAAGTGTATAATTAAAAAAAATTTAATTGTCCAAAAATTATTAGAGAAATTTTGAGAAACTTTTTTTTTTTTTTTTGAGAAAATTTGTTAAATTTTTGTGCCACATTTTGAATTTTGAAAAAATTAACATAAAAATTGAAATCAATTATTATACCTTCAAAATAACCTCCGAAAAACAAGTTTCAAACAAAATCAAAATAATTTTTTAAATTTTTCGCCACCATGTTTGATCCGCCATTTTGAATTTTGAAAACCTGACATCAAATTCATAATCAGCGACCTTAAAAACCCTTTGTTTAGTAATTTTCATATAAGATTTAGCTTGATTTGAAACATTTTTTTCATTCATATTGAATCCGCCATTTTGAATTTTCAAAAACTGACAGCGAATTCGTAATCAGCGACGCCAAAAACGCCCCGAGTAACAAATTTCAGTTAAATTAGATCAATTTTTCAAAAATTCGTTCGCCATTTTGGATCTGCCATTTTGAAAAATTGACATCGAATTCGTAATCAGCGGCCCCAGAAACCTAAGAGTATAACTAATTTTAATTGAATTCGTTGAATTAAAAAAAATATCCGCCATATTAGATTCGTCATTTTGAATTTTAAAAAACTGACTGCGGATTCGTACTCGCAGCGACACTAAAAACGCAGGAGTTATCAATTTTAAGCAAATTCAAGCAAGTTTTACAAATTCATCCGCCATATTGGATCCGCCATTTTGAATTTTGAAAAACTGACATCGAATTTTTCATCAGTTAGCAAAAAACTTTTGTTTCACTTTCTCATTCCAAATCTCATATGCACGAGTGAGAATGAGAGAGTAAGAAAAAATTTCTGAAATTGAAAATGAGAATTTAAAAATTTTTTTCCGTAAATGAAAGTAAAAATAAGAGTGAGAATAAAAGTGAAAATAAGAATGTAACAAAAAAAATTAATATTTCTCAAAAATTATTTTATTCTTCTGAATGTTTTTAATAGAATTATTTAAAGTCGCGGATTATGAGTTTGATGTCAGATTTTCAATAAATTCAAAATGTCGTATCCAATATGGCGAAAGATTTTTTTTTTTGTAAATTGTTTAAATTTGCAAAAAAATTTGGTACGTGCGGGGGTTTTCGAGGTTATACTCATTACGAATTTAATATCAGAGATTTGTCATTAACGATCATCAAAATTCCAAAAATAACAAGTTGACCAATAAAATATAAAATTTCTCATAAAATAAATTTCTGCAGAAGCATTATTTCAAAAACAATAAATATACTCACTTCTATGTTTTAAAATAATATTTCCCACTTTCTCAATGAAAGATTTATCACCATTTTTCATAAAAATTTATATATATATATATATATATATATATATATATATATATATATATATATGCTAAATTAAAAAAATAATCATATCTTTCATATGTAAAATAAGTGTATATTATAAATGTATTATAAAACTTCTTTATATAAAAGACAATTTTATTATTATTAGTAAACTATAAATTATTCAACTTTTCATTATTATAACCTCCAAAGATATATTTACAGCCGGTTGATGATTTAAAGAATAATTAACTCTTGCAAGTCTTTCATCTTGAAATTTTTTATGTTTTACTGACAAATATTTTACAAGTTGTCATATATCATTCTTGAATTTGTAGTATATATACACACATATTTGTATTTATATAAATTATATATGTGTAAATGTATATGTGAATTATGTAAACCTTAAATGTGTCTTGCCGTCGATCAATGTTTATAACTCTGCAATTTTGCCAATTAATAATCTTCGATATAAGAAGAAATCTTATTGATTCATGGAGCAATTTATTTTCATCTGTCAGATTTTCTCGTTTTACCAACTTGTCTTCTCTCTATATATGCATTTTTCTTCGGCAAATTGTTGTTAATAAAGTTTCTCAGAGACTGAGATGATTAGCTTACAAGCCTATATTTATCCTTGTGAGTTTTTTTCTTTTTTTTTAATATATTTCTTCTTTTTGTCATCACTTTGAGCGATTATTATTTAATTGGAAAAAAATATTAAGTATGACATGTGACATACTGGACATAGTGTAATTATTTGAGTTTTATTATGTTTCATAAATTATTGCTTGTATTTAGAAATTTAAAAAAAAATTTGAGTTCAGTTAAAAAATATTTAGGACTTTCACAGATTCTGATTTTTACTCATATTTTCACTTCCACCATCACTGACTCAAATTTCCATTCTTATTTTGACTTTAACTTTCACTGATTCTAATGTTTACTCATATTTTCACTTACATTTACACTCATTCTAACTTTCACTCTTATTTTCACTTCCACTTCCACTTTCACTTTCACTAATTCTAATTTTTATTTAAATTTTCACTTTTGCTTTAACTTTCACTTCCACCAATTCTAATTTTAACTTTCTTTTTTACTTAAATTGATTTTAATTTTTATTCTTAATTTTCATTTTCACTAATTAATAATCAGTAAAAGTGGAAGTGAAAATCAGAGTGAAAATTAAAATCAAAATGAAACTGAAAATTAGAATTAGTGAAAGTGGAAGTGAAAATTTACTTAAATAAAAATTGGAATCAGTGGAATTGAAATTGGAAATGAAAATAATAGTAGAAATTTGAATTAGTGAAGTAGAAATTAAAATCAAAATTATGGTAAAAATTAAGTGGAAATAGATGTGAAAATGAAAGTGAGAATAAGAATTAGAATCAGTGAAAGTGAAAATGGATTAACATAATCGACCAACGAATTTTTTTTTTTTTTTAATTTTCCAATTACATTTTTATTTCATTTAGAAAATTTTTTTACTTAACTTTCTAGTTAAACAAAATTTAGCAAAAAATAGTTTTCTAAAAAATATAAAACTTTTTTTGTACAGAAATATATTTACTTTTTCTGATTAGAAAATATGGATATTTATTATTTGCGATTAATGTCATTTCAAGCAATAATCTCAAGAAAATATCCATCTATATTATAGATATAAATCTATTCTGTCAATGTGAAAAGTTAAGTAATCGTGAAAATATGTGTAAATATAATGTTCTTGATATTCGTTCACCTTCGACCAAAAAAAAAAACGTAAATTTAATATAAATCTAAATTCATTTATTTTTACACAAATTTACAGTCAAGTAAAATTCTGTTCAAAAGTGAAATATATTTTATACTTACCTAGATTTTTTTTTCAAGAAATGACAATTTTATTTATGGGATAATTTTTTTTTTTTTATTCCACACTATTGTCCATTCTAGTTAGTTATTTATACACACAAATCGGGAAAAATTTCTACATACATTCAACATATAAATTTTATCATTTGCGCTTATATATTTTTCCAATTCCACACAGTCATTATTTTATTATCCTTCTGATAAATATATATATATATATATATATATATATGTGAAAATATTTATTAAACTTGGTATATTACTTCATACAATCATTATAAATCTGACATACTTTATTACCAAGAATAATTAACTGAACATTTTAATCGATTTGAAAAATTGTTAAATATGTTATAAAACTAATTTAACAGACAGTCAGTTAATTTATGCAGATTTTAGCAATTAATATATTGTATATCTGCTGGTGACTCGCGGTGTAAAATATATATATATGTTTTTTAGAAAATCCACATCATTAAAAAATGTAAATTTTCGTTTAAAAAAAAATGAGAGGAAAAAAATGAGGTATTTCACAATCTCAAGAGAGCAATTTGTGAAAAATATCCTTTACGTGTTATTTCGATTATCTGCAATATCATAAAAAAAAATTTTT